CGTTAGTCTTCGGCTTCTTAGCCGGGGGCTCGGTCCCCTTGCCGGCGTTCTTCTTTTTCGCGGGCTCGGCACCCTTGGACCCTCCGGCGCCAGCAACGGCGGCAGCAGTTTGGGAGGGCCCCTCCCTGGAAGAAGTGCCCGTCGGGGCCTTCTTCTTCCCTTTCGCGTTCTTCAGAGCGAAGAGGGAACCGACGTCCATGTTATTACCTGCAAGCAACAAAAGAAAAAAAAAACGCAAGAGGGTTAGACCGAAGGCTACCAATTACTACGTCGTAAAAGATAGGAAATAAGAAAGAACTATCAACGCATCAGTGAACCATTCGGTGATCACCTCCAGCTCCTTCGAAGACTCGGTCGAGGGGAGGGTATCTTTCGTCCGAAGAGCCCCTCGGCCTGAACTGCCGGAAGCCCAGGCTAAGCAATTCCTCTGGGAGGGTGACGTCTCTAATCTTGACGTGCTTGTCAGACCCCTCCGGCTTCTTGGCAAGCACTTTGCCATTCTTCTCAAGAGCTGCGCTCCCCACCTTCGGATGGCGCCGGAAGCTATTGCGGAGCTAGGCCGGGAAGGGGTTCTCCTCGAGGCGAATGTAGCAGAACCTCTCCTTCCACCCCTTGTGGGACGAGGGCACGTCATCAAAAAGCCGGAACTCCGGTACCTGCTGAAGGTTGGCAAAGCCCTCAGCATTTGAATGCCCCCTTGGCAGAGGTTGAAGGACATGAAGAATTGATCAAGTGTGGGCTCAACCCCCCGGCTCTGACACAAGTAGAGGAAGCCGGCCACATAGGAGTGGCTGTTGGGCGTTAGCTGGCAGGGGGCCAACCCCACGAACCGCAGATACTCCAAGAGAAAAGGATGAAGCGGAAACCGAAGCCCCATCTCCACCGAGAGGGTGTGAACAGCAAAACACCCTTCGGGCGCATACCGCAACAAATCATCCGCCCTGGGCTCCACCACGCGCGCCGAAGGGCCAACTAGCATCTGAGTGGCCTGGTATTCTGCCGGGGACGCCCTCGTCTTCAGCTCTAGAGCGGCAGTGTTCAGAAACGAATGGCCTTCGGGTATGCCCACCGGTCGCCCAGCATCAACTGCCACTTGCTTCTTCCTCGGGGCCGCCTTCATCTTCTTTTTCTTCCCGGGAGCCACACTGATGGGCGTCGGGTCCAATGGCCGGGAGGAGCTGGCTTCCCCGGCACCCCGGGGGGGGGGGGGGGGAATGGCAACCGTCACCTTCATCCTCTCCCTCTCCTCTTCTTGCTCGGCGGTTTGCACGGCGAGGGCGAGCTCTTCGTCCTCGTTTTCTTGCTCGAAGCCCTCGGCTTCGACTTCGGCCTGGAGGTCCTTCTCCACTTCCATGGCCACTGCGGCATCACCACCCGCCGAGGACTCCACATCTGAGCATGTCTCCATCTCGACCGAAGGCTCCCCCGAGATATCCTGGGAGTCGCTCTGTGATGACATCTGCTCACTAATTCGAAGGCTCGGGAGAACTAAGGTTTCCTAGAAAGTTCTATCTCCTAGCCTAAGGGCACAAGGCACAGCTAACTAGAAGGAGAAGAGCAGGGGGAACTGACCTTGAGAACTGAGGATTCAACCGAGGGCAAGTTTCTCTCTCTAGAAATTTTTTGCCAGAGCTTCGCTACACTGAGATCGCACAGCGGCGAGTGGCCTGGCCTTGGGGTATTTATAGGCGCTGGGATCCGGGCTTGGGCCTGGAAACCGGGCCTCCGGTTGGATCGCCATCATTACAAACCGCGGTATCGCCCAATCGGTGACGCCGCCCACGGACAGCCAACCATCACTCGCCACGTGTACCCCCCCCCCCCCAACGGCTATAAACCTGACGTTACATATTCCAACGGCTATATTTCCAACGGCTATATTCTGGAAGCCCCCGGGTTTTCTACTTCACTCCACTTCATCAAGGAGAGCCTCCGGGCACACTTACCCAGAGACGCCCCCGGGTTGTGCCCCACACAGCACATAACAGACGCCTTCGGTATCACTCCTTCAGAAACCCAAGGCTTCATATCAGGGCACCCCTCGGGGATTTCCCCTCAGCACTGTAAGGACCGGGGTAGCCCCCGGGGAGTATGCCTCATTGACAGAATAGCCTACAGCACACAGGTAATGGGAGGCCTCGGATATCCCCATCACCAACTAATCAAAAAGCAGGGGACCCCCCGGTGACAACTCAACTACTACCCTCAGTCATCACGCCCTCGATATCAACACAACTACCCCCGGTACTTCCCAGGACATCAACAGCGTGCCTTCGGCAATACAACAAACATGCCCTCAGACTATGAGAGCCTTCGGCATCAACATTTCGCTTCATTTCAGACCAAGGCTTTAACCTTTTTGATTCATCCTTGGGGGAATTCGGTGCACTCTTTTTCCCTCATTAGGATTTTTTCCCACAGGGTTTTTCCTAATGAGATTTTTAACGAGGCATCCCCCCAAAATGAAACGAAAAGCGTCAGCCTTTGGCCCACAACAGCAACGCAACTACTCTACTCCTTTTCACCACTTTACAAGTGCCTCAAGGAGTGGGGGACTGGAGGACCCCCTCGGGAAAATCATTAAATTACAAAATTAGTGAAATCCCAACAAACGACAAAGCAAGCCCTCAAGTCCCGACATATGGGTAACTGAGGGCCTGCCTTCGGCAGGGACGTAAAAGCAACAACTCCTCACCAACTTCAGAGATTACGACAGGACAACATCAAAGGGCAAGCACAAATTACTCTTTTTCCCTCAAATACCTTACGGCAAAAGGAGTGAGGGACTCCTGATGGAGTATATGGCCCGAGAACCCCCAGCCCACAGACTCCTATTACTCTAGTAAAGGCCCAACAGGCCCAAAACATGGCGCCCGGAGTGCCAAGCAGCCCACAGCGCACTAGGGGTGCCTTCGACCCCCTGGTCGAAGGCTCTAGACTCTCACAGAACGGGTTTCTCAAGCAAACTAAGAAACTGGGAGAAAACGGCGAAAACAGTAGCCCTCGGCACCAGGAGCCCTCGGCACCAGGGGGGCATCGGTTTGAGGAGCCCTCGGCTGCTGCTCTATAGCCGAAGGCACCTCACTCGACAAGATCTCCTCTTCACGCGCGTACAGATCACCGTACCCTGTACAACGTCCCATCCAACAGCCGCATTAAATGCGGCCACATGCGGTTGCCAGCGCCAACCAGTTGAGGTGACCCCTCGGCCAATGGGCGCTTGACACGTGTCCCTGTCCGGTATTTATTGCTACTATAAATAGCAACCCCTTTCCCCATTTGTAACCACGGCATTCATACTGAATACTCTCTCTCTCTTACTTACTTGTGCTCTGACTTCTCTCTAGTTATTCTCCGCAATAACCCCTCGGATAAGCTACCCCCCGGGTACATTATCCATCAGTACCTATAAGTTAATTGGAGTTCTTCTTAGATATAAACAACATTTTCCTGTTTTTATGAAACAATATGATAACTATATTATAAACTCGGCTGAGATCGACACCTGTGAAAAAATTTGTAATGCTTTGATATATTTTAATAATGCAACTGAAACTTTTAGTCATGTTTATAAACCTACCTCAAACCAATTTATTCGTGAAGCTGTTAATCTCGCCGGTGCTTTTTCAAATTTTGAGAATGCTGATTATGTGAGTTATTTTGCTGGTTTTATGAATGAAAAGTTTTTAAAATATTATTCACATATTCCGCATATTTATGGTATTGCATTTGTTCTCGATCCTCGTTTTAGACTTGGTTCTTTAGAAGAATGTTTGAATTATTATTATGCTGCTTTTTTTGGTCCATTGCCAATGTCTGAGGACAACCCAATTGATCCGAAAAAAGAATACAACGAGGTTAGTGATATATTTTATGCATTATTCAATGAGTTTCATGCACAATATGGCAATGCGCCCCCTCCCCCGACACAAACATCATCTAAAGGAAAATCAATTTTCAAATCTACGTTTGCCAATCTTATTAAAAAAACAAAATCAACTCCCGCTACACAACAAAGCACAATTAATGAGATTTCTTTGTATTTAACTTATGATGTTGATTTTGAAGAAGATGATGATTTTGACGTACTAAACTGGTGGAAGGGAAAAGAAAGAATGTTCCCGGTTTTAGCAAAGATGGCTAAGCAAGTGCTATCAATGCCGGTTTCAACGGTTGCCGTGGAACAAGAATTTAGTTCGGCCGACAATGTTCTAACACAAACCAGAACGAGGTTGAGCGGTGAATCTCTTGAGATGCTTATATGCTACCACGATTGGTTGAAAGCAGCACGTAGAGCTCAAGAAATTGACATCACTCCATCCCAACACTTTATGGATGAATCTACAGAGGGTGGCTCTACCTATGCCGGAGATTCCGATTAAAAACAATTATAGTTCCTATTTAATTTTCAAATGTAGTTCCTATTTCATTTCAAATAAATGCACTTGAAGTTTGTTGTTTAATACTTGTATAAAACTATAAAGTATAAAATATAAATTAAAAAAAAAATTAACCGGCCTGGCCCGGCCCGGCGGGTGGCCCGACCCGTGACCCGGGCAGGTGGCCCGGCCCGAACCGGACCCGTCCAACCCTCGGGCCGGTCCCGGGCCCATGTGATACGAACCGGCGGCCTGACCGGGCCTAGGCCCGGGCCCGACCCGGCCCGAATCCATCCCTAATTACAGTAGGGATATTTTCATCGATTCTTTGTGCTTCATTCATGAAACTGGTTCCGAACATTTATAATTTGATTTGTTTTTCCGGCATTTTCAAAATCAACAAACAGTGAATGCTAAGGTACCTTACATAGTTACATTGAGGGTATTATAGAGTTTGTCTAAATGTTTTCTATCATATACTACGTATTTGATTGGTCCAAGACATAATTTCATCATTTGTTTGGATTTAAATTATTCAATTCCAATTTCCAATATTCTAATTGGTCTAGGTAGATAAGGTACCTTACAATCTTACGTAGTTACATTGAGGGTGTTATAGAGTTTGTCTAAATGCTTTCTATCGATATCAAATAGGCGAAAAGACCAATATTTCGTAGAGATGTGAATAGTATTAAGGAATGTAAAAATATTGATTATACCACATCGTAGAAAGCTTCTTTTTTCAACAATTTCCACAGGAAAAGGGGAAGCAATTGATACGTAGTACAAAATATGAAAGTTGTTCATTGCCTCTAGATTCACCTTTAATCACTGCCCCATTTGCTAACTACACTGTCTTTAGCAGAAGCCTGGGAAGGCTCTTCATATTTACTAGTGACAGAGTTGGCTTCGGGTGTTGTTTGGGTTATCCCCTTCATAACTTGTGAACTTACAGACGTGACCCCATCCCTTGCTCCTCGAAATGTGAACAACAATGGATTGAAAACAAGGGCGAGCATCATATCGCATTTCACAGCTACCAAATACTGCAAAGTGTAAATGCAAGTGAATGTCTTTACTGACAAAGAAAGCATGGAAGTGATCACTTTAATTGCAGTACTGAAAAAAGAACAGAGCTTACTTTGGATGGAGGGACTGAATGGGAAGGTTTTGAAGGACTTGGTTGAGACTATTAAAATCAAAGGGTTGAGATAATATGTGATCGGATGACATTACAATAACTTACTCTGTATTATTCATTTTCAAGATATAGAGTTATAGACCAAGCCCTCCATCCAAAAAGGCCGTAATAGGTTAGGTTGCTCACCATGGCAAAAAGAACTAACGCGGTCAAGAACGCTGGCGGTGCTTCTTTCCAGAAATTGTCACCATCTGAACCGCCAAGCCAACGAAACCACCCACCCCCTCCAGAATTGCCACCTCCGTTTGCTTCTTCTCTTCTCTTAATTTCTTTGTCCCAATTCTCAAAATCAGTTCTCTTTCCACCAAGGGCATTTTCCAATGCTTTCCTGGCTTGCTCCTTTAGGTAATTTTTTTAAAATGTAAATTTTCAAGAAAAACAGATTTGGTGTAGACTGTAGAAGTAAAAGGCATCCATTGTTTGTGAATTTAAAAGCCTCATTCAATATAATGCAATAACTATGGCCATGGTTAGTAGCCTGCTGTGTTCTGTCTTATTATGCTTATCAGAAGATTAAATAAAACAAGCAAATCAAGTAGCTCTGCACATACTTATTTGGCTGAATGGACGTTACCAACACATTCCTATCTTTAGATTCTGTTGATTCAACTATTTCAACAAAAATCTCTTACAGCACGGGCCACAAAACTTCACATAACTAATTTGTCCAGCTTTTCACATCGCAAAAGAAGTTTCTGATTTTTTTTGAATGTGTTTAGTTTGAGGTGTGGAAACAATTTTCATATATGCAATGTTCTACTGGAGATATCAATCTAGATATATAATTCGACCAATATTGAAACACATCTTAAACTGATCACAGCACATATGTTTCCCAGCACAGACAAGTAATTTCAGTTACTTCACAATTACTCTTGACTGGAAGTCTATTAGGGACTTGAAACTTGGAAGATCATAGGGAAATAAATTAGGGAGGAAAGTATATGGGAACTTGGAAGGAAAGACAAACGTGAGGGAAAACATTTTCTTTAGTTGAAAGTTGGAACTCAATAAACTCATTTTCGATATTTATTCAAAGTTTCACTCTTTTTGTCCTTTTCTTATCCCTTTTTGTTCCGATTTCATATGTTTATTCATGTTAGCAGACCTCAAATTCTTTTGGGACTATGCCTTGGATGTTGTTGTACTCAGAGTTCCAAACTCATTATTTATCTAATTCTTTATATATATATATATAAAATAAAGAGAAAAATAAAGATTTGTGAAAATGTAAAAGCATTGATCATATTGAATTTCCTTCCTGTTTTCCAACCAAAGAAAATACAGCGCTTTCCAAAAACAAAATGCTCCCTAAGACTTCACGTTGAATGTGAACTTTATTTGCAGGTCTTACAGTTCTACTACCCCTATAAATAATAGGCGACTAATGGGACAATACACTATACACACCAAGATTGTGGAAGGATTATTTCATTGATAACGTGAGCTCCTGGGGAGGAAATGCAAAGTACGAAAGAACATCTTAGGTTAGATGAGAACGGACAAATGGACAATAATGAACTAATTTAGAGACCTTAACTCAAACATATTGAGATTATGAGAAGAGTGAACTTCAATCTGTTGCTCAGTAATAATCACCAATTTGGTCATCCAGCAATTCCTTTAAAACTTTGAATAGTGCTTTCTGTTGTTTTCCTCAGGTCATAGGGTTGAATACATCTAGGAAAGCACGATTAGACTAGAAATGCTAAAAATAAATTGTACAGAACGCTTTGAGAGTTTGAGCAACTTCAAAGTGGAAATCCAGATTCACAAACTGCCATATATCAGTTCAAGAAATTCAAACATTTTTTTTTATTTTATTCAATTCGCAGACTACAACTAACTGATTATTCCACAATTGATGGCCAATTCGTCAACTATCCAAAAGAAATAGGCTCAATCACATTTCTAGTTTCTATGATAAATCTATGAATGAATCTAGTAATTTCGAATAAAGATGAATGAGTTGTGCGAAACCATTCGGAAATTACATATAATACGTACTTGTTTGTTGTTTCCGTTGAATAGGCACGAAAATTTGCATCTGCACTTGAGCTTATTTTGCAGGGTAGTCCAAATGTTGTTGACTTCCGAAAACTGCGGCGATTTACCGAGACGATGAAGAGCAAACTCGGACAGAGACGATGAGGAGTTACGGCGGTGGTGAGCATCGGCCGGCGTTCTTGTGGGAGGGCGTGTCCCTAGCATATGCGCCATAGTTTTTTTACTTTTTTCTTCAAGCTTGTTTCTTTTTGTAATTTTTTCACGCACTCGAACTGAAACAAATTAAATTGACCACTTTCAAACTTTTGCATAAATTAAAAAGTTGTTGTAAATAGTTGTTTCACCCTCGTGTTTTTGGACGGAAACATTAAAATGGAAATGTTGCGAATAAAAGAGTTTTGGGTTATTATTTTGAAATATGATATTTTCTACTCCCTCCGTCCCACAATTAACTTCGGTTTTGACTGGGCACGAGGATTAAGATAGTGGGATTTGTGTGATGGAGAGTTGTGTAGAGGAGAGAGAAATGTGTGAGAATGATTGTGAACCACATATTCTTTATCAAAAAGGGAAAGAGGAGATAAATTTGGGACGGACCGAAAGGAAAGAATGAAGATAATTTCGGGACGGAGGGAGTACTAATTTTATATTCAAACTTCCAAATTATCAAACTTATTTTGACAACCTGTCATCTTATTCTTCTAGTTAAATCTGTCGTATGAATGCGTTATTGATAACCCGCTAACATAATTCGCTATCTGTTAACCGTTAAATGACAAAACACGTCATTCATGTCGTTAGTGATTGTACTGACTATGGATGATGTAAATCATGGTAATAAAATATTTTTATCAACTGTAGTGGACCTTATACTCGTGTGAATAAAAAGTTCAGTTCAACGCACAAAAAATGTGGCTCATGTTAATTTGAAAAAAAATATCATAATTTTTTGTTCAGTTAATATAATTCTGGGAAACTTATATGCAAGGAATAGCAAAACAAGCTCTTATGGTATGTTAGGGAATTTGGAGAGGGCAGAGAGGAAAAGGTCTTCAAGGTTAATTGTGAGAGGGGAGGTGAAAGAAACTCTTATTTTTGTCTGCTAGTTATAAATTTGAAAAGAGCTGAGAAGGGTTGCAGGAATTATAATTGAAATTGCTTAAAATACATATCGAATACAAATAGTTGAACTTGTATTTAAACCTAAGATAAATTAAGTTCAACTAGTCCTACTTAGAGCTGCTTGAACGTCACGTGATAATGCATTAATGCCTATAATCCGCGTTACACTTTTAGAATATTCTCTGCAATCTATAAATCGCTGAGCTAGTTTACTTTTAGTAGAAGAAAAACAAATTTTTATACATGGGTCCATAGTATGAATATACGATGCAATGCCATATACTTCATCAGTTCTTAAATAAATGCAACGGTCAATATTTCACACTTGCTGAGACACAACTTTGACCATTAATATAAATGATTTTGTATTAGTAAAAAATTAAAAAAATTAGATTATGAAAATTTACAATGAGACAAGTTTAACAATTTTTTTTTCATAAAATAATATTATTACATTAATAAATAAAACGTAATCAAAGTAGAACATGTGAATAGTGTAAAATTCAAAGTGTTGCATTTATTTAAGAACGGAGGTAGTATGAATCTAAACTATTAAATAATACCACCTTCATCCCACTATGTTTGAGACGAGAGGGTGTGACACAACTTTTAAGAAAAAATGAAACTGTGTGGTTGATATTGAATCGATAAAGTGTGAATAAAGTAAGAATGAATGTACTCACCCAAATATTACCAATATGGTACACGACAAACTTAATGGGAATGACGAAAGAGGTAAAACGGGACAAAGTTTGGGGATGGAAGTAACTCATAATCGAACAGCTTGCAAGCCTTTTGAGTCAAATACGAGGCGAGTTTGAATCGAGTCCAGTTAGGCTGCGAAATAATATAGAATAGCCTGCGAGTCACCTTGCTTGCTTAAGAAACCTTAGCGCCACACAAATTACTACGCCAGTACTACATACTCCGTATATTGTAACAGTGGTGATAATACAAATTTTGATAAGAATATAAGTAGTGTTTGTCTAATAAAGTATACTCCCTCCGTAACATGGATTTAATGCACCAAATCCCTTCGTAAAATATAAATTCGACGCATTAGTCTCATATGATTTTAAAAATGCGTCAAATCTCATGTGTTTTAATTATACACGCACAACCCCCCCAATAACAAATTTTAGTATTTTACAATTTTGAAATCGTTTTTTCTTAATAATATGATTGAATACGCAAGTATTTTTGTCAAATATTTTAAATTATACAACAAAACGAATTATTTTTCATTAATTTGGCAATTAAAATTTGTACATAGAAGGGATTTTCCGCATGAATAACTATAACACGGGGGATTTGATGCGTTTTGTAAATCACAGAGGGCTAATGCGTCGAATTAATATTTCATGAGGGGGTTGGTGCATAACCCTCCGTAACATTCATATCTTCTCACTTTCTTTTTTAACCGTAACATTCATATCTTCCAATTTCTAAGAGGCCGTTTGGTAACACTGTTTATCGGCTTATCACGCTTATCAGCTAATTTTTTTCACCAAATACGTAATTTTTGCTTTCGCGCGCTGAATTGTGTAATAAGCAGAAAAAGTAAGGTTGAAGTTACTTTTCTGGCTGTATTGGCTGAAGTTAGTGTAGATGACTATTTTAGCTATTTTTACATATAATTTTTTTCTTTATTTTATCAATAAAATATATTTTAAAAGTATTTTTTTCTTAAATCAGCAGAATCAGCTAATGCAGCCACTTCGCCCAGAACTTCATAGATTTCAGCAGAATAAGCCAAATCAGCCAATTTTCGTGCTACCAAACGGACTCTAAATCTTCCTATTATACTCTCAATCATTTTGAAAATATTACACTATTACAACTACCCTTTTAGGATTTATCATTCGTTCCGGCACACCTTCTCATTATATTTTTATAATGTCCTCAATAATTTATCCCTTTCACTAATCATAATTTCATTTACTTTTAAATGAGAATATTTAAATGTTATAGAGGTAGTATAGAGTAATTATCGGGTTGCACATGGTAATACTCACTCAATTTCAGTTTAAAATTTCTGGCATGTCTATTCTGACGTCTCAACTAAAGTTTCTCATTTGTATTCTATGAAATGATTAACATTTTAAATGATAAATTAATCATCAAACATTAAACAATGACTCAAATTAGTTACCAATAATGATTTGATTATATTATGTGTCGTCAAAATTACTTTTTAAAAAATACTCCGTATTACGAAGCACTTTATTTAATAAATTTTTAAATAATTGTATGGACTATGAAGTATCATTTTTCAACAAAAAGTTAAGTGTGGACAAGGAAAGTATATTTTTTGGTACAATGTAAAAAAGAGATATGATAGAGGTATCTCATTTTGGGTATCCATTTGTACCTCACTGATTGAGTGGCTCACAAAATCCCAATCCAAAAAAATAATTGCTTTACTTTAACTCATTGTTGTTTTCAACCACAAAAACAATAAGGTGAGAAAAAAGATAAGGTAAAAAATGGAGTAGCTTTGGATTTTTCGCGTAAAAAACACTAACCCCCCTGCAACCAATGTTTACTTTTTCACAAATGCTAAAGGTACCTCAAAATGTACCTCATTTTTACTCCCACATGGTCATAAATGGGACAATTCATTTAAGGGTATGTTTGACACAACTAGCTGAAAAGATACTTTTGTAAGTTTTTTAATAACTGTTAGCTTTTAGTGACTGAAAAGATCTTAAAGAGAAAAGGTGATAGCTGTTTGGTAAAAAGCTGACTGTTTGATTTAGTTCAGTTTGATATACAAGCTGTTAGGACTAATTAATACTAAAAGTCACGGGCTTTTTTCAGATGCTACTTCATGTAGCATCTCAAAAAAGATCTTTTAATTTTTGAAAAGCTCTTAAAAATTATAATGCCAAACATAAAACTAGAATTTTTTTGAGATTTTAGAACAATAAAAAAGCTACAAGACAGAGACTTATGCGTGAAAAACATAGCGTAAGTGAGTCACCACTTGAATGAATTGATCCATTTATGGGCATACTCTTACTTTTTACTGAAAAAAGTAGCAAAGTAGCCTGGGGTTCTTTGAGAGAATGCATCTTACGATCTAAGCTCCCAGTTATCTTACTTTCCAATACTCCATATATATCAGGAATCGAACTTCTTGGAGAAAGACAAAGATGGCGGAAGATTTGGTATTGGACACTGCAATTAGAGATTGGGTGCTTATACCCTTATCGGTAGTTATGGTGCTCATCGGAGTCCTCAGATACTTCGTATCGAAGCTCATGCAGTCATCCTCTTCCCAGTCACCTGATGCTAAAATCGTCAAAGAAGGGTTTTTTACATCTCTCTCACTCTCTCGTGCGCGTAATTATATAGTTATGTCATTATATTTTTATTTGTTAATATATCTGAAGATCTTATGCAGGCAGGCGATAATTAGGGCTAGGAATTTGAGGGCAAATGCCAATTTTCTTCCTGCCAAGTCTTTTAGAGCGAGGCGATTTTATTATAGCAATGAGGTTCATCACTTTAATTATTTGAAATCTACTAAACTCTAGTTCTTTGAAATTTACTAGTTGATTGGGAGTTGAAGCGTATAAACCAATTAAAATGATAGTAATAATGTTACCAACACATTTTGCATTTTGTCATTTTGCTTGAAGGTGAGAATTTACTTCATAGCTAGGTTGTCATTTTTGGGGCTCAACATGGAGTTGTACTTGATGGGCTGAGGGTTAGGTTTTAAATTTTTAATTGAGATGCTCAGATTTCTTTACTTTCAGCATGAGGGTATAACTGCAAGACGAAGAAAATGAATATACAATAAAATACTCAGCAACGGACTAACAGACCCAGGAAAGGGGAAGGATTTGAATGCAACTATTGACCATTGAGTAATGTATAATGCAAGTATATTTGTTTTTAACTTTTCATCCCAATCAATGTCTGATTAGGAATGCAAATTGGCAGTAGAATAGCATATAACACTTTATTTGTAAAAGTAAATGATACTGGAGTTGTTATTATAGTGGTAGTACATAGAGGAAATGTCTAAAAGTTTTAGGGCAAAATGCAAATTTTCTTATAGCCTCCTCAAACTATTCCCCACATATCATTTTAGTCTTCAAGCTAAAATATCTAACATTTTGGTCCTCACCTTATCATACATACCATTTTGGTCATTCGGCGAAGTTCCATCCATTTATCCCTTAAGTTCCACGTGGCATGACACGCGTTGCCGGCGCTTAGCATGCAATTGGCCAAATGGCATCCCACATGATCTTGTTGTGCTATTAATTAGTCTAAATCGATTTACAAATACTCCATCCGTATTCTATTGTTTGGTACAATAGGGTTTGACTCAATATTTAAGGGAGAAATAGTAGGGGTAATGAATAGGTAGAAAAAGTAGGAGAGGAGTGGAAAAGAATGAAAGATAATATGAAAATGTCGAAAAAGTAAAGATAAGTGAGTATTTTTAAAAGGAAAACTTATTAAAAAAGGAAAGTGTAGCAAAAATTAAAATACATCCAATAAAGAAAGTGTAGTAACAAAAGAATACGGAGGGAGTATACAACAACATTGCCTCAGTGCCACAAAGGCTCCCACCAACGGTGGGGTAAGGGGCTCGGATGTACGCATCCTTACCCATGTACCCATTATGAAAATCACGTCGAAAATTGCATGGATTGATTGCTACTTTATAACAAAGAAGCGCAGTCTAGTGAGCTATTTTTCTTTATTCCATGATATTCCCAAGCCAAAAAATAGTGAATCTTTGGCTCCATTGTAAATGATGGGAAAATACGGAGGGGGTATTATTTTTAAATAATTTAATTTATAGCAGAAAATGCACACAGTTCTCTTTAACTCACGTCTGCCTTAGATCTTTTGTAAATTTTAACCCAAAAATTAATTTATTACAATTAAATCTATCCTTACAAATATATATAATAATTATGAAAATCCACATTCTACTTTCCTTGCAATAAAAAGTAATAACCAGCTTAAAGAAATACATAAGTAAATACATATATACGTAAACCTTCTGTGTGTATGTACCTGTGTTTTCTTGTTAGAACTAATAGAAAATGTGTATTATACTATTGCAGCATTTTGTACATATTGGCCTGACTGGTGCTAAAATATACTATTATACGGAGTAATCCTTAGTTACTTGTTGTTAAATGTTCTATGGTAATAAAAGTAGCTTCTTAAATTAAACATTTTAAAGTGAATTTCTATATGTTACTAGGTAAAATGCCCCCTCTTGTTTTAACAACCGTTAAGTATATTTGTTATGGCAATTTTTAGTGCATTATTTGGATTACAAATATGTAACTTTTGGTTATGTGTGGGAAAATATTGAATAATTATTACTATAAATTATAATTGTAAATTAACTTGAATAATTTGAGTATCGCAATAAAATCACGTGTGTGTGTTGTGCCATCTGACAACGTGTGGCATGCCACATGACAGTTAACGGATAAATAGATGGAGAACGTAAGAGGACCAGCATGATATGAATTGTGAAGCGTGAAACTGGAATTTTAGAATTCTTGGCACCAAAATGACAAGAATGCAAAAGTTTAAGTTCCAACAAAGATACATTTTACCTAAAGTTATAATGGGAAATTGGTGATGTGTTGAGTGGGTAAGCAGGCCCTGAAGCTGCTCTACTGATGCTTAGGTAGCCAATTATTAATGAATTGTTAAAAAAATGGCATGACTAACATATATGTTCTTAGAATTGTACATTCTTCAAGTTAACTAAATGAGTCTCTGGTTATATGCTCTACAGAGAACCATTACTCAGTCAGTTAATAAGTTTCTAAAATATAGTGAAGGCTTACCCCAGTGTATTGTTTGTGCAGGAAAATGGGTTACTTGTTCCTAAAGGACAAGCTCAGAATCCACAGGCACAAATGCTTTCTGATCCTAACATGGCTATGGATATGATGAAGAAAAATCTGTCAATGATTATACCTCAGGTATTACATTCTTATCGCCACACTTTAATGTGGGTTCCCTTAGGGTGTTTACATTGCTGTGGCTGGAGTCTTGAGTAGTAATGTTCTTGTGCAGACCCTTACTTTCGCGTGGGTGAACTTCTTCTTCTCAGGGTTTGTAGCAGGTTTGCAATTCTTACCTTTCGTATTTTAGTTGGTCCTTGAGATTAAGTTCTTAAGCTTTGTTGTTTATGCACAATTCCCGGCTCGATGAGGAAAAGCGAGTTTTTTGGGCGTCATTTGATAGCTTTATCCAGCTTATTCTGATGATGACTAATAAGTACCGGTTTGGTGGGGTGTTTTTCTGCCTATTAGCCTTATCGGTTAGACGAGGAAAAGTGTGAGTTATTTTAAGGCCTGTTCTGTAGCCTTGCCGAGCTTACTCTGCTAATAAGTGTCTGTTTGGTGGGCAGTCTTTTGCCTTTTAGCCTTTTCAGCCAAAATTGCACCAAACTCTAATTTTGTTCTCTGCTCTGGCTTAACTGGCTGATCTGATCATCAATATAAGCAGTGCTGCATTTCGACATTCAACTTTAGATACTCAGTATCATTTTCTATAATTTATTTAAAAATTTAAATAATTATTTTGTATAACTCAACAGATTGAGTTTCTATTTCAGTGGACTCTGCAAATTCCCTCACTTCAACTATTTCAAATCATACCAAACATTTTATTCTTTTGAAAAATCAGCCCACTGAAATTGAGCCATTTCTGCTGAATAATACTTACCGAACTGACTACTAGCTCTCACTGTTTATTTTCTGATGTTATATGATTATATCATGTCTATTTCTAAACACTTTGATGATGCTATTTACAGCAAAAATACCATTTCCATTAACTCAAAGGTTCAGGTCAATGTTACAAAATGGGATTGATTTGAGTACAGTTGACGTAAGCTATGTTAGCAGTCGATCATGGTACTCTCCCCCACCAAATGTTCATTCTTCTGCCGAATTTTAGTACATTTGGGCATATTTTCTATCAAACTTTTTTAAAGCGAAAAGCGTTCAAAAGCGATGACCCCGAGCTTTGCTTCAAAGCGAAAGCGTTAAGCGAAGCGAAGCTTTCTCACAAAAAGCGATGATTAAAAAAATTAAAGAAAATATAATATATAATGTGTACTTATGTCATAAATGCATAAGTAGTCATAAACGTCAATCAAAATAATACTAGTTCAGCATAAAGTTTCAAAACATTCATCACAAAATCACACAAAAACACATAATTAATCATAAAAGTCATAAAGGAAATACTAGTGTGGCGTAAAGAAAAAAAATTCATCACACAATTTCATAGTTTCATTAAAAACGGTTCTTAGAATCTTCCTCATTCCAAAACTAATATATACTGTCTTAAGCAAAACTAAACAAGTGTATATATTTATACAAGAGTGCATAAACAAGTGTAAATATTTATATATTATTTTACATTAACTAATATATATTGTCTTAAGCAAAACTAAATAACTGTATTTATCCCTTAACATCACAAAGAGGAGAATATGGCTGCACAAATACAAGGTCACACACATTGAGTAATTTTTACAGGGGAGATTGGGAGATTATCAGAAGAATGAACTAGAATGAAATTATAAGTAATAGCAGACTATAAGAAAATTTCTTCTAAACTGGAAATAGTTCCAGAATCGGCAGAGCTGCAATTAAACTGCAATTAACTAGTTTCTAAAACAAATAATAAAATCACACACAAGGCTGGCAGAAGCCGCAAAACTGAAATTAAGCTCCAGAAACGGCAGAAAGGGCAAGATGATTAGAAGAAAGAACCAATGAGTAATAGGCTAATAGCAGACTAAGAGAAATACCTCAGTCCTCAGCAGCTGGAAGAACCGAAGAAGAAAGGAGAATAACTCAGTCTTCAGTGGCTCAGCAGATTGGCGTCGTTCCTGGTTGTCGCGGCTCTGAAGAAGAATACCTGGAGTCTTCGAACAAATGGAATCGAGCTTCGAAGGAATGGAAACTATCCTAATTCGTAACCCTAAGTAAACTAAAACTAAAAAAAAACTTACCGGCTCAGCTTTGACCTACCCGTCGCTTTTTGTGAGAGGCGATTAAAAGCGCTCGCTTTTTGCGCAGCGACGCTTCAAGGAAAGGCGGAAAAAAACGACGCTTTCTCATAGGGGTGCGCTTCTGTAAATCTTAGCGATAGGCCATCGCTAGCCTACGCTTCACGCTTTTTGTCGCTTTATTTCGCTTTTAATAAGTTTGTTTTCTATAGTACCACTTTCTGAAGATTTGCTATGCTTTCAGGTACTTCCTCAACCTTTTTGGGCTGAGAGGCCTATTTAGTCTCATTCTGGGAGAGGAAAATGGTAAATGTTAATATTATATTGTTGGGTGATAAGTAGTACATATGTATGATATCTGTTGTTATTTATAGTTGTTTGGTATGTATGCATTATATCATATTGAATAATGGGAGCTTTGGTATGAATTCAGATTTAACATTCTTGGTGTTATTTTATATTGAAAATTACTCATTGCAGCTACAGATGATACCCAACGCATGATGCAAATGAGTGGATTTGGTTTTGACCCGTCAAAAGTGGGTTTTCTCTATTGCTTTCTTAATATAAAAATGTGTTGGCTGAGCTGATGTACTTCTTATTATTCTTCTTCAGCGCTGGAAATCTGCAAAAAGAAGTAGATTAGTTAAATATGCACAATTTCCTTCTTTACAACTATAACAGGTGTATTACCTCCTCCATTCCAAACCAGAGTCAAAGAGTCTCGGTTGGTTAAAGTACAACACTTATAAGTCACGCCGTCGTACACATATTTTTAAAACTTATTTTTTGGTTTAACTAAAGTTATCATATTCAACATAATTGTAAGTTTTTTAAAAATTATAAGAGAAAGGTAGATCCATTTACTCTTTACGTCTCGAGAAAAGGTTCTCTCTTTCCTAGTTTCCTTTGCCTCTCACCCCAAAATAAGGTTTCTCTTCCCTTTTAAAGAAAGAAATGTGTGGTTCTAGTTTTTCTCTCTTCTGGGCATAAAATTGGACCAAAGCGTTTACTGTTCAAAAGGAAGCATTTTTGTAGGACGGAGGTAACATGAAACGTTTGAAACATGTTCCTTTTCTTTTCTTTCCTTTCTAGACAGATGGAGTATCTCTTGCTATATTAGTACTTGGTAATCATTCTCATCTTTGTACTCTTTTATGTTCAGAGTTTGGGTGCAGAAAAGGACAATTTAGACATATTGCAGCATGAATGGGCACTGCCTAAATTCGAGCAACGCGCGGAAACTGTTTTGAGGTCACTGCTCAACTGATTTTTCATGCATACATTGAGTTTGTACGCTTATGCTTCATCCGTAGGAGTCGTTTGGATTGGCTCCCTCCCCCCCTTGAATCTACCTCGGCTGCTCACAATGGTTGAGATCTATGGATGGAAAATTAACAGCGGCTTCACGGAATGGGCATCTGATGCTTCCTTAGTTTCTTGAAGTAGTGAATTTGATCATTGTAGTGGAATCAAATTCTTTTTTTTGTTCGTCTTAAGATCTGATATGCTGCTGCATTTATTTAGGTACATTTTTTGTATTTTGGTATGAATCAATACAGTGCATCTCCACTTGCATGCGAGGTTAACAGGCCATTTGATAGGGATAAGCGTTACTGAAATGACTGGTTAGATTGTGAAGGCATGATCAACATGTTATGTTCCTTTATATTCCCCGATCTTTGTTTTATTACTCCTTCTGTCCCTGAATTATCTTCAAACTTTCCTTTTTCGTCTGTCCTAAAATTATCTTCTCCTTCCCTTTTTGGCAAAGAATTTGTGGTTCACAATCATTCTTACACATTTCTCTCTCCTCCGTATAACTCTTCACCACACAAAACCCACTATCTTAATTACTGTGCTCAGCCGAAATGGGAGAAAAAACAGGGACGGAGGGAGTATATCTTTTGTTATTATTAAAGAGTAAATTAATATGATAAAAAATAAGAGCTGAAAAACGTGGGAATCAAATGATCCGAAGTTTATGGAAGGGGTATTTACTCAAATGATCAAATCTAAAGTGGCAGGCAAATGGAGTCGGAGTATATAAAATGCATTCTGAAACGGATGCCACATTCTTTTAATCTCACATAATAAAAAAAGTGACATAATTCTCTCAAAAAAGAGACATAAAAAGACGATATTAGAAAATGAGGTATTTGTTGTAAAATCCTGGTAATGACAAGTGTGAATTGTTCATCCTTGTCATCAATCCAGAAATTATGTTTAATCCTTGTAATCTAGTTAGAACAGATGGCTCAACTTGTTATTGTCACCAAATCTGTAGATTCATCCCTTAAATGACTAATCATCAAGTTCAAACAGTATAAATAGGAGCTTGATGAGGCATTGTAAATTCATTCAGAAATTCAGAAATTCTCAGATATTAAGAAGAAGTAATTTAGAGTTTTTTTTGATCTATTCCTATCTCATAAATTTGGCCTTCATCTTCTTCATTTTACAACACGTTATCAGCACGAATCTGCTCAAAAATCTCCAAGAAATCATCCTGCAGGTATGAATATCATCATATATTATTACTGTTAATTTTGTCTTCAAATATATATACGGAGAAAATATATAACCATCAAAATAATTATCTACACTTACTAGCTTGAAGCCTTGAACCGTAGAAAACTCTATATTTCATCTTGATAAATAAGAAGAGGAATAATATAATTTGATTAACTTCAAGAAGATAGAAAAAGAGAGAAAATAAAAGGGGAGAGGCCGTTAGAGTAACTGGAACACTTAGCATATCAAAGTAACATGCAAATGAAGACCTCCTCATAGATATATAAATGAATAAAATACTAGCTAAGTTGAGAGAGTCACGGGTTGCATGGGAAAAGCAACTCATGCATATGCATATGCAGTCAACACCCTTCAATTCACGGGTTTTGTTTTATGTCCACCGGCATGCATCGTTAATATATACGAAGTATATATATTATTATATTATAGTTAAACCAATGTCTTATTAAAAGATAAATGTAAGAAGTGCATGCTATGGTAATAAGTCACGTAACATGTTTGAGATAAGGATTGCTATTTAATATTTCAATTGCTATACAGTAGTTTTTGTTTTTATCTTCCAAAATAAAAGAAAATGTATACCTATTATTGTTATTACTTACTAATACTAATGTGGTTATACTCCATATTTCTAATTAAGTTTAAAATAATAATCTTGTAGTATCATGGCAAACATTAGCAAAAGAGAATTCGATGTTCTTGATCTGTCTGGTCAAAAATACCTGGAATGGAAAGTTGATGCTCTAGCACATTTAAAGGCTAATGGTCTCGAAGACACTATTGAGGCTATTAATCAATCATCTTCCCAGGATAAAGCGAAAGCTATAATTTTTCTCCGTCACCATCTCCATGAAAGTCTCAAATCTGAATATCTTTTGGTTGATGACCCAAAAGAATTATGGGACAATTTACAGGAGAGATATGGCCACCAACAAAAGGTACTTTTCCCAAAAGCTCAGTATGACTGGATCAATTTAAGATTCCAGGATTTTAAATCAATCAGTGGCTATAATTCTGCTATGTTCCAAATAACATCTAAACTAAAGTTATGCGGACAAAAAGTCACTGATGCTGATATGTTGGAGAAAACCTTTTCTACAATGCATATTTCTAATATGCTGCTACAGCAGCAATATAGAGAAAAGGGTTTTAAAAAATACTCCGATTTAATATCAGTATTATTGGTAGCTGAGCAAAATAATGACCTTTTGATGAAAAATCATAATCTGAGACCCACTGGTTCTAGTCCTTCGGTTTATGGTCCATCTGACCATAATTTAGCCACTGAATCAAATGCAACATACAGTGGCAGTAGAAGGCATTTTAAACGTGGACATTTTAATGGTCATAATAACAAGCCACACCGAGGATATAAACGGGTCGACAGACCAAATTACAAGGGCAAGGGAAAACAAAAAACTCATCAAATAAATCGCCCTACAAAACCCTCGGTGAAAACGGCTTGTTAAAAGTGTGGCATGACGGGGCATTGGGCTAACAAATGTCGTACTGCGAAACATCTGGTGGAGTTATTTCAATCTTCCATGAATTTGAACAAAGGCAATAATATGGAAGCTAATTATGTCAATGACACAACTCCATCTCTGCCAAAATTTGACGTGTCTGATTTTTTCGCGGATGATGCCATTATGGATGATGCTTTTGCCTTAAACCAAAATGTTACTAAATAAAATAGTAGACTCCTCATGTTGTACAATACTACAATACTAGTTTTATGTACTTTTTCTTTCTTCCCCTTTTTATTTTGTTTTTAATTAAATATGTATAATGTATGTACTCTTATGTTAAATAAAATGCATAATTTGTGATCAAGCTAATGTTTATTTATATATATTGAAGATATGGATCATTCAAATGATAAAGAGCTATGTCTGATAGACAGCGCCACAACGCACACCATTTTGAGAAATAAAATATATTTTTCTCAAATGACTTTAGTTGAAGCTAAAGTCAATACAATATCAGGTGTTGCGAAGCTCATTGAAGGCTCTGGGAAAGCATATGTGATGCTCCCTAACGGGACAAAAATTATTATAAATGACGCTCTATACTCCAGCAAATCGCGGAGAAATTTATTAAGCTTTAAAGATATGCGTCAAAATGGTTATCACATAGAAACCATGAATGAAAATCAAAAGGAATATCTTTGTCTTACAACAACTAAATCTGGCACTAAATATATTTGTGAAAAAATGCCAGCATATTCCTCAGGACTATATTTCACATATATTAGTCCATTCGAAATAAATTTGGTTTCTAACACAAAGTTAGATGATCGGAAAACATTCATGTTGTGGCATGACCGTTTAGGTCACCCAGGCCAAATAATGATGCATAAAATCATTAAGACTTCACTTGGACACCCATTAAAGAATATCAGGGTTCCAATATCAAGTGATTATCCTTGTAAGGCCTGTTCTCTTGGCAAAATGATCATCAGGCCTTCAATGAACAAAATTGCAACTGAATCACCTGCATTTTTAGAAAGGATTCAAGGAGATATTTGTGGGCCGATAGCCCCACCATGTGGACCATTTCGATATTTTATGGTGTTGATTGATGCTTCAACACGTTGGTCACATGTTAGTCTTTTATCGACTAGAAATTTAGCATTTGCTAAACTCCTTGCTCAAATAATACGATTAAGAGCTCATTTTCCGGATCATTCTATAAAGAGAATCTGACTTGACAATGCAGGAGAATTTACATCCCAATCATTTAACGACTATTGTATGTCGATTGGGATTGATGTGGAGCATCCTGTTGCTCATGTCCATACACAAAATGGTCTTGCTGAATCTTTGATTAAACGATTACAATTAATCGCTAGACCATTATTAATGAAGTGTAATTTACCTTCATCGGCTTGGGGACACGCTATTTTACATGCAGCAAATTTAATTCGGCTTAGACCGACTGCATATCATGAATATTCTCCAATGCAATTAGTTACTGGACAAGAGCCAAACTTAGCACACATTAAAATATTTGGTTGTGCTATTTATGTTCCGATTGCTCCACCTTATCGTACAAAAATGGGTCCTCAAAGAAGGTTGGGAATTTATGTTGGATTTGAATCTCCCTCAATAATCAAATATCTTGAACCGATGACTGGTGACTTATTCACCGCACGGTTCGCTGACTGTCATTTCAATGAGACAGTATTCCCAACCTTAGGGGGAGAAACTAATAAATCGGACCCAAGTACGAAAGAAATAACATGGAATGCAACAGGATTATCACATCTTGACTCAAAATCAAATATATGTGAGCAAGAGGTGCAAAAGATAATCCATTTACAAAATGTTGCAAATCAGTTGCCTGATGCATTCACAGACACAAAGAAAGTGACAAAGTCACATATTCCTGCCATGAATGCCCCTGCCAGAATCGAAATCCCAACAGAGAATTCTGAAAAATCTTTAGCAAATGATTCTTCTATACGCAAAAAGCGTGGCAGGCCACTTGGATCGAAAGATATAAAACCAAGAAAAACTAAAAGGCAGGAATCGATCTGTGATGCCAAAGATGTTCATCCTTCTGAACAAGAAAATGAACAATTTGAAAATATTGGCATAGAAAATGATATTGACAAAACAAATATCTCAAATGATGATCCAACTTCCTTAAATGAGGAAGATATTCCAGATAATGATAGAAACATTGATAATTATGAAATTTCAATAAACTACGTTTCTACTGGAATGCAATGGAATCGTAAAGATATTGATATTAATGAGATATTTGTCTATGCCGTTGCCACAAATGTTATGAATGAAAACAATGACAATGAGCCAACATCAATAGAAGAATGCCGGAAACGACACGATTGGCCAAAATGGAATGAAGCAATTCAGGCTGAATTGAAATCACTTAAAAAACGTGATGTTTTTGGACCGATAGTCCCTACGCCAAAAGGCGTAAAACCAGTAGGCTTTAAATGGGTATTTGTGCGTAAACGCAATGAGAAAAATGAAATTGTAAGATATAAAGCCCGACTTGTTGTCCAAGGGTTTTCTCAAATGCCGGGAATTGATTATGAAGAAACCTATTCTCCAGTAGTTGATGCAACTACATTAAGGTTTCTCATTGGCATGTCTGTTTTTGAAAGGCTGCAAATGCGCCTAATGGATGTAGTAACTGCATAT